ACTTTGCCAAAACCGTCGTCTTTGACTCATTGAAGTGTTTTTAAAAACTGAAAATTGCTGTCTGCCCCAAGCAGCATTGCCAAACTGCCCAATTTTTCCTCGATTTCACTGACTTTGCCACAACCGTCGTCTTTGACTCATTGAAGTGTTTTTAAAAACTGAAAATTGCTCTCTGCCCCAAGCAGCATTGCCAAACTGCCCAATTTTTCCGCGATTTCACTGACTTTGCTAAAACCGTCGTCTTTGACTCATTGATGTGCTTTTGAAAATTCCAAATGGCTGTCTGCCCCAAGCAGCATTGCCAAACTGCCCAATTTTTTCCCGATTTCACTGACTTTGGCAAAACCGTCGTCTTTGACTCATTGAAGTGTTTTTAAAAACTCAAAATTGCTCTCTGCCCCAAGCAGCATTGCCAAACTGCCCAATTTTTTCCCGATTGCACTGACTTTGCCAAAACCGTCGTCTTTGACTCATTGAAGTGTTTTTAAAAACTCAAAATTGCTCTCTGCCCCAAGCAGCATTGCCAAACTGCCCAATTTTTCCCCGAGTTCACTGACTTTGCTAAAACCGTCGTCTTTGACCCATTGATGTGTTTTTGAAAATTCAAAATTGCTGTCTGCCCCAAGCAGCATTGCCAAACTTTACAATTTTTCCCCGATTTCACTGACTTTGCCAAAACCGTCGTTTTTGACTCATTGAAGTGTTTTTAAAAACTCAAAATTGCTATCTGCCCCAAGCAGCATTGCCAAACTGCCCAATTTGTCCCCGATTTCACTGACTTTGCCAAAACCGTCGTCTTTGACGCATTGAAGTGTTTTTAAGAACTCAAAATTGCTGTCTCCCCCAAGCAGCATTGCCAAACTGCCCAATTTTTCCCCGATTTCACTGACTGCCAAAACCGTCGTCTTTGACTCATTGAAGTGTTTTTGAAAATTCAAAATTGCTCTCTGCCCCAAGCAGCATTGCCAAACTTTACAATTTTTCCCCGATTTCACTGACTTTGCCAAAACCGTCGTTTTTGACTCATTGAAGTGTTTTTAAAAACTCAAAATTGCTATCTGCCCCAA